CCTACAAATTAATAATTTTAGAAGTACAGTAGAGCCTCAAACTCGGCTTAATGTGGACCAAAGGGTAGCCGAGTTTGTGAAAATGCCGGGTTATCAGGAATGGGGTTAAAAAAGGATAAGTATGCGTGTTTCCTCAGAAAATATTGTACTGTACTTGTATGTATTGTTTGCTTGAGAATACAACAGAGAATAAACTGCCCAAATACCCTTAAACAAAGGAAAAGTACATTCTTTATGAAGGCATAGAGCCTTTACTACATGAAAATGAAAATTAATGAATACATAGTGTACAGTAATTTACCTGATAAGACAGACCTCAGAAAAATACTTTGAGGCATAAAGCTGTCTGTGATGAAAATTAATTATTTAAGGTTATTTTTGCCCTGCCAGGGTGTGGCCGAGTTATCCGGAGTGCCAAGTTTCCGATGCTCTACTGTATTAATTTTTGATACAGATAGTATTCAATTTTTTATCATCATCCTCAAAACATTATACAGAAAGATTTTAAGGAAATATTATCAATAAAATGAAAGTACAGCAGAATCCCCAATTATCTGACATGATGTGGACTGGTGCTACCTTGGATACTTAAAACTCAGATAAAATGGATGGTTGTGGTCACTTTGGATTAAAAGTTACAAATATAAATGATTTATATGATATCATTTTTAAGCTTCTTTCTATATCTTAGTAAATTTAATTATATAAGCAACTTTTTTTATATCATTTATTATACAGCATAAACATACAATAGTTTTAGTATTAAAAATACGTACTACTGTATTGTAGTCAGTGGTGATATTCGAAATATTTAACAAAGGGTTCGCTAACAGAAACTTTTTCCTTAACAATTTTTTTTCGCTCAAACGGTGCATTAGCAACATTAGCACAAAAACTGACCTTAAGATACCCATATAAATAAAGATGCGTTCGAAAAAATAAGTCAAAATTTAACATTTTTTATGCCAGAACTAATTTTTTTTTATAAATAATAATAAAGTGTGTTCAAAATAGTTTATTTTGTACATATTTTATTACGACACGTGTTCCGCAGCCATCTTGTATTTTCTCGCACGCGTGGGATTGNGCAACATTAGCGCAAAAACTGACCTTAAGAACCACATAAATAAAGATGCGTTCGCAAAATTAAGTCAGTTAAAATTTAACATTGTTTATGGCAGAACTATATTTTTTTGATAAATAATAATAAAGTGTGTTCAAAATAGTTTATTTTGTACATATTTTATTACGACACGTGTTCTGCAGCCATCTTGTATTTTCTCGTGCGCGTGGGATTTTGGGATCTCTCTTATGACTGCATCTAGTTTCAAGAACTCTCTTGAGTCGACCGCTACTGAACCTCGTTTCAGTCGAGATTGAAACAGTCGAGGGAGGTCGCATCAAGGCGAACGTGGTGTAGGGCTCTAGTTTATTAGTGTTACAGAGTATAATACGTATATTTTAATATATTTTTAAAAAGAAACAAAACCACTGAGAAATGTTACGTGTGTTTAACAAGGTTCGGAAAACTTTGAAAATGTTAACATCGGGTTCGGCCGAACCTGTGCGAACCCGCTGAATATCACCACTGATTGTAGTTACATTATAATATTAATGATTTGTCTCTTACTAATGATAAATGATAACAGAAACAAATAACTTTGTGATGTTATTGTTTTAAACTGTTTAATCTGAATGAGCATTGCTCTTCAATTAATTCCAGATGATTACCAGATTGCATCAGGCTATAATAGTCTAAAAATTAGATTAATAGATGTTTATATTTACTCTGCAATTATTGTATGAATATTGTGGGATGTGCACCACCAAACATATAGTTTTTTTATTGCTCCAAAAGAATTATTTATTTTTGCTTTATGATATGTTATAATAGGGTGTTTCAAGTATACTAAATAAAATGAAAACAATAAATGAAAATTTATGTTTTATCTCTAATATAAACATTACTTTTCCACTGATGTCAATCCCACCATTGGCATGTAGGTCTTGTCTTCCTCTTCTATATGTAAATACCCTGGAATCTTTACTTCCAGTAAATCTAGTAAACGTTATGAAGTTTTTTTATTTTAAATTAAGTTGGAAAAAACAATACTTTTAATAATATTTAAAGTATTACAGTAAATATGCACTCAGTATTCATGGCAAAGTGTGAGGCTCTGGACAGGTCCGAACCCTCGCTAAAATTCGCGGAAAATAATGGTTTTAGAGAAAATAATATATTAGTTAGAAATAGCTTTTTATTTTATGAAAACGCGACGCTAGACAATAGAAGACTTTTAAACAATAGAAGAAAGTAAGTCCAGACCATTTCTGGTTGGAGATCGAATTAAACTTCGATTTTGACCTCTCCCGCGTCCCCGAAAGGTTTCGAATTGTCATCAGGTGACGACGGGAGACCAATCGGAAAGGGAATCTGAAAGAAAACAGATAAAACCCCGGAAATTCGAGGACGCGAGGGCTTCTTCTCCCGAAAGTTCCAAGTGACCGACCTGTTGTTGTGTGTGTGTCTCGCACCCATCTTCGTCTCCATCTCCCGACCTCGGATCGACAACTTTCCATCAACGGAAGTCGACCGCATCGTCCCGGAGTCATCGAGACATGATGGAATGGTTCATTCGCGAACAAGGGACACTCCTTCAAAATGGGACTATCTTGGAAAGGAGAGGAAGACCCAGAGGCCGCAGCTGCTGTAGAACTTCCAAGTTTGCGGAAATCTTGTAAGCTTCTTTCGTGTTTAATAAACGGTTGTGTTGTTTGTAAACGAAGCATCTATCTCTGACTCAACTGCTTCCACATGTCGTTGATTGTTACCGCTTGGCAATCCAAATGGCAAGGGAGTCGATGACGATACATATCACATATTATCGTTCGTCGAGAGATTTTTTTATTTCTCCCCCCTCGGCCCCCACAAAAGCTTTTATGAATTACAGTGTAAGAAAAGTAGTATATTCATATACAAGTTTGCCTCAGATAATGCTGAACCTCAATTAATCTGGGCTCAGTAATTAGGGTTCTATAATGATTATCGGTCATATAATTATTTAATGTCTGGCATTTAATACTTTAATAATTATATTATGGGATTAAGATGGAAAACATAAAAATTAAGTCAATATATTTTTGCAGAAATGAATTTTTTGAAGTTTCTGTATGTAAAATACTAACAGATACCCTGGTGCTGCCTGGGCAAAAAGTAAGAGTATACATTGAAATGAAAATCATGTTAAGAGTTTTTAGTTATTTTAACCTATTAGTGTCATGTTTATCATGAAATATTAAACTTTAAAAAGAAAATGAAAACGTAATAAAACAAAATAAAAAATGACAAAAATCTCTTGTGAAGGAGTAAAGAAAAATATTGATCTTATTTAAATTTATTTAGCAAAAAATAAAAAATGAACAATCAGATTTTGAGGTAAATGGACCAAAAATTTCTGCTCTGCACTGAGTACTTATTTTGTGCTTGCTAACTTGTTAAGAATGTGATACTTTGATAGTACAGAATGGTACACTTTCATTGGTTAGGTAAACAGGAATTTGATTTTCAACAGAAAATAGTTGATTTCACCTTGAAAAAGATAATTCAAGACATCCAAATTTTTTCTATTGTTACTACTAATATACCATTCAAAGCCAAATATGAAATAATAGTCAGCTGACTAATCTAATTTCACAAAAAAAAAAATGGACAAAATATTTAAAATTTGCACCCTCAAACCTCTAAAAGTATTTTGTGCTTGCTGGTAATTTTTGTATTAAGTAATTTTCCTATTTGAATGCCACGATATTCAGCATTATCTGCTCATATAGAAAGGTGGGTCTGGTGCAGGTGAGGGATTGAAGTTAATTAACCAAGAGTAGTTGCTGATTTCTTCCTGGATGAGTGGATGGTCCTGAAAAGTTTCACTGTTTGCTCAAATCTTGCCGAGATGTATAAAGAACAAATTAACAAATGTTCTTTTTTATATGTTAAATGTAATCTTTTTTTCATCTATAATATACATATTATATATATCACAATGTAATATAACTTCTATAGCTTTTAGATTTATAACTAAAGAATCATTGTTAAATGTTTATAACAGAGCTTCCCAATATCAATCCTTTAGGGGTCAATGAGTAAATTATACACAAGAAAATATAATCACTTAGTATTGTTTAATAAATACAATTTGAAAATATTTTTCAAGAATTTTTAAATGCCATTTTTAAAATTTTCCAAATACATTATTTTTTAATAAATTTTGTGCATGTGTATGGAAAACACTTTTTTCACAAACTTTGATAAACTCCCACAAGTTTATTAAAATTCTGTTTAATTACTATAAAGTAGATTATAAACTAGATATTCCAACCTTTTTCATGTATATGAACCATTTAAGAAGGCAACCCTTTTAAAAAGTCAATATATGAAAAAGGTTAGATTGCTAGTTTATATTCTCCTTTATCAGAGTTTTGTTTAATTACTATAAACTTATAAGAGTTGTACTGTAAAAAAGTTTTAGGTGGTGATATTGTTTACAAATGTAAAATTATGTGCATTCATTTTTTAATCTCAATAGTGTTTAACTGCATTTAAACACTAGTAACTAGTGTTTAAATGCAGTTATTTCTTTGTAAAAAATAATTTAACATTTATATAAATCATATAAAATTTTTTTTGTTGTATTAGATGAGTTTATAAGTAACAAAAATACATTATTTATATAGAAGCTACTTTTATTTTTTTTATATTTAATATAATTTTTTAAATATGAATATTGCCATTTTAAGAAACACAGTTAAGTTGTGTAACTCTTGTTGTTCAGCTAATTATAGTCTGCAGATAAAGATTGATCATCTTAGTGAATTGCTATTAATTGGTCATCCTCTGGATTGACTGTTTTGAAATTCTTTCTTTAGATAAGCAATAAAAATTCTTTAAATATAGTTTTAAATGTTATATCAAAAGTAATTATATTAAATATTTGTTTTTTTAGCTGCCAACAAAATACTTGAAGATCTGAAAAAAGAAGCCACTGAATTAAAATTACCAAAAGAACATACTCCTAGAATATAATAAACAAAAGTCGAATTGAAAAGTCGAATTATGGCAGAAAAGATAAAAAATTTTTTCAAGAAAAAAAAGGTAGACAAGGAATTCAAATCAGCAGGGCCAGGGCACAGATTATGTGAAGAACCACATGTAAGTTCGAAACCAAGTTATTGGACAAATCCGTCTTCATCTAACAAACGTTATGAGCCAACAGAAGGAGTGAAAAAAGCCGGTGAAGCTGCTCTTGCTCGTATTCAACAGCAACAACAAACTCAAAACCCAAATTGGTAATTTAAATAAATTTAGTATTAATTATTATGCCACATTCATTTAAATTAAAATAAAAATTTTTAATTATTATATAATGGATAATATATATTTAACTAAAATAATAATAATAACGTTATTACAAATTTATTTATAATAATAAAATACAGTGGGTGATCGGTTAACGAACATAATCTGTTTCAAGTTTTTATTTGCTATCCGAATTGTTTGTTAACTGATTATTGATTTACCATAGGTTTTTATGGGAATTTGATTAATTTGTTTTGGAGACCCCAAAAAATAAAAAAATATATACCTTCTTACTATGTTTATTTATATGTAATAATAAAAATACATAGTCTTGCATTTTTATTAGTCATGTTTTTTGCGTTTGTGGGGGGTTAAAGAATCTGTCTAATGTCGATTGCTTTTCTCTCCAAGATTTTTCAGAAGTAATTAATAGCATTGTAATTGTAGAGATCCCTAAGCCTATTAACTTCAACCTGGTTGGGATTCTTTCAGAAGAAAACATATCTTGCTGAGTTTCTTGGTGTTCTTCTGTTGTCAGATCAGTTTCAGGTTCCATTATGAGCTCTTCAATGTTCTTTATTTCTCAGATGTTATTTTTGTTACTCCTTTAGCTGCCTGAGTATTCTTGATTACACAGTATCTTAGATAAGAGTGAACTGTGGCTTACAGTAAACCTGTTCAAGCCATACTGCCCAGCAACAACAGATATCATACATCTGCCCACTCTCTACTTTTGCTATTATACTCTCACCTTTTGAAAATAAAAACCTATGCAAAACTTAACAAGTGCCCACCCAACAGTCTTGCGAATACTATAAAAAAATTGTTTGTCAGAAAAATAAAAGGCTGGAATTACAAGGGAGAGTTTCAAAGTTCGGAGGAATACTATCCGATCAGTATATACCGAGTTGAGCGTCAATGTTGACGTCTCCCGCACTCCAAAAAGTTTCAAATTGTTATCTGAAGACAAGGGAAGACCAATTGGTATTTATTATTTTACGTCGCTTCTTATTGTGTTTGTTCTGTGAGGTGTGTGTTACCTGATCATGTGTTTGTTGTCAGAACATAAAAATCTTTCACGAAAATGTTCATTATTCAATTTGTTCATTAACCGATCACCCACTGTATTTAATCATTAAAAATTTGCTGTTATTTTATATCAATTTGTTTTGGTCTTGCTTATTATCTTTGTTGGTGTCTGTACAAATCTAAAAACTTGTAAAAAATAATTAATTTTTTTCCTCCTTTGAGATATATACAGGGTGTATCAGAATGACGTTCTAAAAATTTGGGGATTGTAGAGGATGAAATTTTGAACATTTTTATATAAGGAACTCGTAGCCGGAAATGTGATGTAAAGTTTCTACAGCGATAGGAAGTGCTTGACCGAATTTCACTTTGGTAGCTACCCTTCCATCCATTGATGTCATGTTATTATTCTTGACTTCTTCCTTTGAGGTTATGTAAAGTCCCTTGTGTAGGCAACACCTGTAGGAACAGTTCATGAACTTACGGAGCTCATCTTTACAGTATTTAATACCATCAGAGGGTAGTGTGGCATCTTACAGAGAGTCAGACAAAACATGGTTAGTCATTGCACATTATGTAAGGAAGTTGGTGGTCATTGCATTGAGCATTTACTCTAAAGTAGTGCAGCCACTGATTCAATGTACAGTTTGATTGTACTCTACTGTTTTGTCAATAATACTTGTCATAAATACTGTATTCTGCTGTTTCATTCAGCATACCAAGTGCAAAGTGCTGTAGAAACTTTAAATCATATTTCCGGCTATGGGTTACTTATATCAAAACACCAAAACGTTCAAAATTTCATCCTCTACAATCCCCCAAATTTTTAAAATGTCATTCTGATACACCCTGTGTGTGTGTGTATTTCTTAAATATTATTGCCAAAATTAATTTCTTGTTTAATTGTGTTCATAATTAATTAATGTAACTATTAAGAAGAAATTTTAATTTTTAAAATTAATAAAAAATTACATTTTTTTTCATTTATCAAAATTTTAAAACTATCCAAATTTCAATGTAAAGATAAAGATGTAAAGATCTCAATATATCTCCTAAGTCAATGATTATAGATTAATTCAGTCATTTAAAATGATTGTTGTGAGGTGGTTAAACCGTGTATTTAGTTCATGAAAAATTTAATCTGATTATAATTTTGACTTAAATATGCAGCATATATACAGGGTGTCCCAACGAAAATGAAACGGCAGAGATATCGCGTTCGTCCAAGCAAATCGCTCGGACAGGTCGATTTTATTCTCAAGGGGGATATTTTCTGCAATGTCTATGTGAGTTTACTTCCGGCGTCCAAAGCAAAACTAAACTTCCTGCCACAATGCAATCCTTTTATAGGATTGAAAGAGAACTGGATTCCACCAATCAACGCTTGATAGCTCTCCAAGACGTCCGCAGATGGCGTGATGTCTTTTAACTAATGAGCGGTCGAGTCTTCAGATGTTGTCCGAGTAGCGTTCCTATGGCGACCAACATCATCTGTCGAACGACTAAAAGCGCGGGAAAACGAGTGTGCCAGACGATTTTTATCCCGACAAAACAAATAATAATCTTAAATTCGAATTGAATCACTATGTGGTCAAGCTTAATGTGAACACTACAAAATACTGTATTATAACATTTGGAAACAGATAACACATTATCAACCTTAATTTTATGATCAACTTATTTTTCCTTGCATATGCAGTCTAGCTTAAAAGGTTTTTTTATGTTTTTTAATAGTTTGTGTTACTTTATTTGAAATAAATGTTTGTTTAGTTAATAAAAAATGAATAAGTTTTTAAAAATTTTGTTGTCTGTTGTATTCAGGATCGCAAAAACTTCATTGAAGAAAATGTCCCCCTTGAGAATAAAATCAACCTGTCTGAGCGATTTGCTTGGACGAATGCGATATCTCTGCTGTTTCGTTTTCATTGGGACACCCTGTATAATTGGCATACATCAAATTTGTTGATCCCACAAATGGAAGTAAATAGAGATAATAGAAAGAGTGATTCTGTATTAAAAAATAAAACTTATTGATGATATTTCAAATAGTTTTATTTCTTACTAATAAAACTTTTTGATAGTAATAAAATCCAGTAAAAAATTTATAGTTTTAATAAATTATTAAGTTAGAATGTTCTTGTAAACTAAGACTTGTTATACTGAAGGAAGAGGAACACACCATTTCCAATAAAAATATATTTATTGTATTAGAATCAAGATTATGTTATATCAAGATTATATTAAAATATTTCATTAACAGTTTATTGAAATCATTGAGATTTTAATGTGATGTAATTATGAAAAATTTATTTTTAGATTCTATTTAAAAAAAATAAATTATGAAAAGCAAATAAATTTTATATAACCTATTTTTATAATTTGTAATTTTTTTGTATATGAGCATCTATTTCTTGAATATCTTCTTTTATGTTTTAATAGGTCCCAGGCTGCAATAAGAGCTCAAGCAAGAAAAGAAATAGAGCTTGAATTACAAGTGAAAGAAAAAGAAAAACATAGACAAGATGATAAAGTGGTTAGTAAAACCAATTTATATTAAAGACTTATTTCTTAGGAGTATAATTTAATCTAACACACACAATATAAGCCTTTTGCAATTAAGTTATAGACTTGTCTACAACATCAGGATTTCATATATTTAGTAGTGATGTGCTGGGTATCTGCGGATATCCGAGGGGAAAAAAGATCCATATCCGTTACTTTTTAACGGATCTTTTATCTTAATGAATTTCAATACTTATATGAAATTTTAAAGATAGGTAGCAATAAAATACTAATAACTTCAATTCAAATCACTTTTTATTTCTTAAAATCACATATTTGGCACATTCATATTGCAAAAATTTTATCATGCAAAAATCATTTGCTATCGTAAAATATTTTTTCATATTACACTGTAAAACTTTTTTGTCGACATTGTTTTTATTTTAATTTAACTCAACACTCTCCAAAAACACAAATGTAATCTATGCTATCCCGTGTCACACTAAAACTATCAATATAAACAAAAACACACGCAGTGCAAGTCAAAACATGTTGCGTTACTAACACAAAGTGTCAACTATTGGTCCAAGGTCACACACACCGGCGCTGACTGAGTACAAAAGTTGATTCGTATCCGTATTCACGGATCTAGACACTAATGATCCATATATGTATACATATCCACGGATATACATTTTTAATGATCCGGCACATAACTAATATTTAGTAGGACTATTAATACTATGCTGGATTATATTTCCAGTAATTACTGGTAATTATTTTTAATAACTTTCTTACACTGATATATTACAGATTTCTTTCTCTCTCTCTCTTTTTTTTTTTTAACTTAAAACGTAATTTGAGAAATCTAATAGAACATGAAGATAAAACTAAGTTGATTATGTAGATCAAGGGTGGGCAACCTTTTTTATAACATGGGCCAGAATAAATTTTACGTTTTTTCCGCAGGCCATAGTAGTTAATTGACACCTTGTGACCTGTAAATTTTTAGTCTGCAAATATGAAATAAATAAATAAAAAGAAATTAATTACTACAGTCGACCCCCCTATAACACTGTTGATTATTCCGTTTTATATGAATTCCATGTTGTATGAGTCACTTAGATTTTACAAATGCGTGTGCCAGGCTGTGAACGGCTCACCTATTTGTAAAATCTAAGTGACTTTAAACACAATAAAAACAGCCCTATGTAGTTGGATACGACAGACATTACATTTTCTAATTGCATAGCTTTTGCACATAGATTTTCTTGATGGATGACGCGATGAGATATAAATAATTTAGAAAAATTCTGTTCTCCCATTTTTTGTTTGAATAAGGAAATGACTCCCTTATTTTTTCCTGTCATTGCTGTCACAACACTTCAGAAAATAATATTCAATTTAAACTAGACGAATTACATCGAAAAATATTTATTTATAATTTCTTCTAAACATCTCGCGGGCCGGATAGAAACTTTTCGTGGGCCGTAGCTGGCCCGCGGGTTGCCCACCGTTGATGTAGATTTCAGATATTTTGTATTATTTTGACTCACTTCAATGGTTACAGTAGGTATCTTATAATTAAATTAGTTACGATCCTGGGACTAGAAAATTGGTTAGTTACATATGAAGGTCTTTTATAAATCAAACTAAATATTATGTAACAAAAAAATGAGGACTGTATGAAGGAAATGTTTTGTTAAATTTAGTTCCACTTTGTATAATTTCTGAATGTTTAATTTTGTGCAAAGAGTTACTGTTTTAAAATAATTAATCTATGAAAATACACATTATACAAAATACAATTGATATCATTCCCGTTTATTTTAAACCTAACATTGTTTAATCATCACCTTGATTTATTCAAGGATAAATACTTAATATCATTTCAATCAAGAATATTAATAAATTCAATTGTACATTGAAAGAAATGTATGTCTTTTTATTCTTTGGATATTCTTTAATTGAATAATATGTAATCAGCTAAATTTAGTTCAGCTTCAAAAAGTCAGTTGTTAATAAGTTGTTAAAAAGTTGGTTAATAGTTACTTATTTTTTTTTAATGATTTCTTGAATATAAATTTAATTTCATTCCTGACTATTGTAAACTAACACAACTGAACTGAAATGAACTTTTGTATTTTATATGAACTTGATTTTAATATCAGATGCTAGAATTAGTGTAATATTTTGGATTTGTTATTACTGTGCATTAACCCAGTTTTGATTAATGCAGCCATAATTCAGTTAAAATTGTTTATAATTTGAAAAATTAATAATAAATTTTATACCATTAAATATATAGTTTTATAACAAAAAAACATTAATTTACATATTGGAGCTCAATAAACAATATTAAAATATAATTCCTAATTTGTATTACTATTGTATTTTAAACTGTATTTAAAGAATCAAATCTCATGTAATTATAAAATAAATACATGCTTTATTATTGAGTTTAAAATCACTGTTTATGTATTTCAACCAAAATTTCAAATTATTAAATACAATTTCAATATTTTTATATAGTGACATCACAAATTATTTTGGATCTGTGACTTATAATGGACCTTTATTCCAACAGCCTGATCACATTTTTATTATAAAGTGACTATAAACAATAATCAATGTCAGTAATGACAAAACATAACAAGCATTAATAAATGGCTTTATTAAATGTTTAATTGTTTTAGCCTCATTCTCTATAATGCATTTTAACTGCACAGTCATATAGCTGGCCATGTAATTGTTTTGTTTAAACTCAGCCTTGTTTGCTGATAGGCTGCTATGAATGCTTTATGGGATAATTGTCGTAACTTCAAATAGTCTTATGTAGAGATCATAAGTTGAAGTAAATTTGTACTGCTAAGATTGTCATTAGCAATGTATGCAAATAATTTATATTTTTATATGTAGTATATTTTTTAATGTAATTTATACACTTTAAATAGTTTATCATGTGTATAATAAATAATTTAAATAATAATTATGTATTCCAGTCTTATACTACTAGTGCACCAGTACTTGCAGTCAGTGGGGTTTATTTTTTTTGTCCATTAATTGGTCCTGTTGTTTCAACTTATAATGAAATTGAAGAAAAGATAAAAGATTATTTTTATGAGCAGCTTTATGAAGATAGAACTATTGTATCTAGTCTAATAATAAAAAGCTGTAATAAAGACAGAGATAAGGTATTAATTTGGTAACTATAATACATTAAAAATTCATCTATATATTTTATTATAATAAAAATAATTATGCTTTGTAACTTAGAATTTTCATCATAAGAAATTGTTTTGAATTGAAATAAATTTCTCGTAAAACTAATTTTAATGATCTTAGACTTGCTAATCCTTTTACATGATATATAAAATTAAGTATTTTGTACTGAAATTTTTAAGTATAGAAATGAAACTTTTTTCTTTTTAATTATGCTTCTTTATATCCTAAAAGTATTTTTTAAAAATACTGAATGTTTCGATTCTTTTCTCTTAACATTTTATTAGAATTTAGACACCATTATTAAGCTATATAGGTAAAATATGATTATCATAATAATCTTCCAAATATTTATTTTGTAAGGTTATTAAACTTTATAGTGGATATAAATTCAATTTATATATCTTTTTATTTTATACACAAAAATTGTTTTAAGAATTTATCAATGAAGTTTTTGACTGATTTTAATAAATTTTTATTGATTAAAAAATTTCTTAATCAAAAAATTTCATATATTTTTATCTATTATTATTATAGGTGAAAATTGGAGTTGACACAATTTGTAAATACTTCAAGAATATTATAGATAATCCAGAGGAGGAAAAATATCGCAAAATTAAAATGAGTAATAAAATTTTTCAAGAAAGAATTGTTACACTAGAGGGAAGTTGGGATTTTTTTATAAGTGCAGGATTTCAACAAGAAACTTTAGAAAAGGATGATGCTAAAGAGGATTATTTGGTATTTCCTAAAGATAATACAACAGACACATTAGAGACAGCAATAGACATTTTGAAATCAGCTGAGCCAGTTCTACCACAATTAGATCGTAGTATTAGGGTTCTAATGCCTAGTGCATCTTCTATAAAAATTAATTTACCTGATGAATTCTTTGGATTGAGTGCTGAAGAATTGAGAAAAGAACAGGAAGAAAGGTATTCATATATTTTTCTGATAAATTTTAACTATTTTTTTTTTTTTTCCTGGCTTTTCCAAAAAAGTGCTTAGGCATTTTTTTTATATTAGAGCAAATTTTTTCCAATTATTAAACTTTATATCTGCAAGATTTTATCCTATATAACAATATCAGGCTATGGAATGGACTATTTAAATTTCATAATCTATTGTAACATTATTAATTTATTCTTATTAAACTGAAATATTTAAATGAATACAGTCAAACTCTGTATACAAACTTAATTTGTTTTTAAAAGTTGTTTGGAAACCGATTTGTTTTCAAACCAAAACAACTTTTCTCATAAACAATGTAAAATGGATTAATCCATTCTAGACCCCAAAACAAAGCCTTTTTTACCTTTTTAGCAGCATTTCATGAACAAAAATGCAATATTGTATATAATATCTATATCCTTTTTATATATAATACATATTAAAAGCAAAATGTTTGGTCACTGCTAACTGAAACTAACACTTTATAAAAAGTACTATAAATAGAGATTTGACTCTGCCTGGATGAAATATAATATAACCAAATCAATTAAGACAGATAAGTATTTTATCCACACTTTCTGAAATATGTTTCAATTGCTTTGATATAAATTTGAATTAATAATAATAATAATAATATCAATATCTTTATTAGTAATAAGGCCATTAGCCAGTTACAAGGGATGTTTTTTTGTGACAATCAATTCATCTTATCACCAATAATTTCTTTTTCAACATCAACCATTCAACCCAAAACTCCATCATTTTATACTAGATACATATTCTTAATTAGTACAACTTGTATCAAACTACATTTATATTATTCACTTGCGCTTAAATTATTATTTAATTATTAAATTCTTTAACAACATAAACTTCTGTGTATAGTTATATAATCTATAAATTATATCTATTGATGCTCTATTAAATACCTCATACATTTCCTTTTCATTATTACATTTAAGTAAACATTGTAGCTCTAGCTTCTGTGCTAGTTTCTTAACATCTTTAGAGTCACAAAACAGGTGAAATTTTGAATTTATTTCTTGACATCTTGGGCACATAGACCCAGTGAAATCGATAATTTTATTATTAATTAGTATCAATTTTTTATTTAGTCTAAGTTGCACAAAAAAATCTTAACGTTAAACGCTAGGTTTGTTAACATATAATTGTTATTGAATGGATACTCCAGAATTATCTTGTACCAATCTGGTTTCTTTCTATTATGTAAATCTTCGATATCCTGAGATAAAGTAATTTCTTAAAACATTTTGTATTAATTGGTGATAATGCTGATCACTTAACTCTGGTCGATCCATGAATATATTTACAGAATAACCAAACTGATTCAGTATTTTTGATAATTGGGTCACCCAGTTTCTATCATTCTTTTTCACCAATGACTTATGATATAATTGATATAGCAATATCGTTGATAAATTCCCAGTATCTCTTAATTTAAATAAAAATTTCATATATCTCTTCATTAATGATGTACATAATTTGTATCGACTCAGTTCTAATCTGATTGCTCTACCAGGTATGTTATATTCCAAAAAGAAAATTCTGCCTATAAACTTGTTTTGAATTATCTCCACTTTTTGCCAGTGACCAAGACTCCAAATTGGAATAGCATAGCCAATTGAATTCATAATAATGGAGTTAAACAACCGAAAGTGCACTTGTATATTTTTTTATTTTAGCCTTAGAAAACAATCTAACCAAATTATTTAATAACCTGTTTGCACCATTGGCTGACCTCTTATACTGTTTCTCAAATGCTAATTTTGGTGTCAATATGATACCCAAGAATTTTGTTTCTTGAACTATTCTGAATTCTTCTTTGTCGATGAAAACACGCGTGTTTCCTCGGTAAATTAGAACCATTCCTAAATATCATAACCTCAGATTTTTTTGGATTTATTTTCAATTTCAGCTCATCAAAATAGTTTTTCACCAATAAAATCTTCCTTCTTAAAGCCGCAGACGTTGGAGCAATAATCACTATGCCATCTGCAAAAGCTATCGAATGTATCACTTGATTATCTACTAAGAACCCATCACCTTTATTTTCAAAACAACTATTTATATCGAATGTATAAAAATTAAAAAGGTGAGGTGACCAAAGGTCTCCTTGCAATAAACCTCTGTACGAATGAAATGAAGGCCACTGAGTATGACCTTGCTTAATTGTAACTTTATATTGGCCAAAAAGCACTCTTACAATATTTATTAAACATTATTAAACATATTTATTAATTTTTTGTAAGCCTGCAATACTTACAGAATCGTAAGCCTTTTCCAAGTCTAGAAACAATGCGAAAACCTTTTGCCTTTTTTCATTAACTGTAACTGAACTATTGTGATTAATGTGAATAGAGCTAATTGGGCTCCACCATTTTTAGTGAATGCATATTGAGTTTCATTATTGTAATTCTTTTCATTTAACCATTTATTAAACTTTAATGACAACACTGCTGTAAACACTTTACGTAGACCAGAAAGCACCTCAATCCGACGATAATTAGTTGGGCTTGACCTTTCACCATGCTTATATACATGACAAATATTACCTCATTCCAATTATTTGGTACAATTCCCTGCTTATAAAACCCATCAAACTGTCTTGCTAAAAAGCTAACCATCGCGATTTTAATTAGCCTTTGATAAGGCTCGATTAAGGCTTAATTGTTTTTTAATGGGATTTTTTTTATCAAAATTAATTAATCGTTCTAAAGTTGTAGTGCACGCATTTGACTTCGGTAAAGTTATTTAAAGCTACTTTCTAATGTCAAAAACGACCTCCAATAGTTTTTAAATTTTTTTAATTAATAGATTTTATTATATATAAATTTAATTAATTAGGGGGGGCGGAAATCGCAATTAAAATGTTAATTTTTAAAAATATTTTAAAATATACATGTCGGTCATAGTCACCCTACTTTAAACCCTTGTCCTCCCGAGATGTATATGAGAATG